GAATACCTCTTTGCTGGATAAAACACAAACTGTATCGTAAATACTCTACAATAGGACTTTCACAATAATTACAATATCGACTTATCATTCCATAAAATGGAATAATGTATTTTGGGGATCAATATTTATCCTGGGTACTTTTTCTTTACCACATTGGGGAGATTTTAGTAATTTTTATGTAATATGATAAAATTTTAACTAGAATAAATAACTGCTATGGCTAATCATCACTTCATTCTGCCTTTTATTTGTTGCAGCTCATACTTTTGAATGATGCTATCTCTTAAAAAAAAGAGTTTAATGGGATTATCCTGCTTTGTATCAGTGGCATAAAGTAGTTTCTGTATTATAATTTATCGCAGTATATCTCTGTAACAATATACTGTGCTTTGTGACAGGCCTACTATCCCATACAGCTCAAAGAAATATTTGATGAAGCTTGTTCTTTTTTAACTGATTGGAATTTACATTGTATATAATATCTCTATGTTTCTATTCTTGGACCTTCACATTTCTCATGGTTCCCTCTCTGTGATAACCCTGTCAAATCCATTATGGCCAGACCTGACTGAACCCTGTAGTGTGATGCATTTGAAACAAACCAGACCTTGACTGACAGACAGAGCCTTGACCTTAACTTCAGATTATCTAATAAAACTGAGGTCGGCCCATTAAATCCCACATGACTTTGTTCTCTGAAGTCAAATCTCAACTTCGTCTCTCTCCAGATCTGGCAGAAAAGCTAAAATTTTTGAGCCAAAAGGGGGGAGAAATCATTATTTAGGTTGCGATGGATGTTTCCACGTACATGTACAGTTGTGAAAAGAATGCAGTAATGCCAGGAGGACAAGTTAAGGTCAGCAAATGTAATAATTAGTAATTTAATACCAAATATGCATTTCACTTTACTGGTGGTGTCCTTTATGCATCCTTTAAGACCCATTTTTCATAGTGATTTGCATAATTTGTTCAAGTTGGAAGATGAGCGTTGGAGAAACCCAATGGGAGATGTTGTCAGAGCAGATTTCGTTTTTTCTAGTGACTGATTGGAGCTGAAAAGACCAAAATGAGCCTTAGGACTCGAGGTTTCTGAGCAGAAGGTGAAAGAGTATGTGGGATGAGACTTTGAGCTGGGAGAGTTATTATCCTACTTAGGCTTATGGAAATGGAGAAAAGAAATGTACTCAGTAAAAACATTGGAGAATAGAAATATTTTACTGTGCATAGAAGCTCAAATCAGTAAAACAGTTTGATTTTAAATGTTGTTGTTTATTACAGAGTTACAAACAAGAATTTGTGCGATGTTATGTTAGTACTGAAAATGAAAACACAAATTTTCATTGACACCTTAATATGTTAGAATTAAAATTTCAAAGTTTTCTAACTGGCTTTCAGTGTATGCTGTATACTGACTTCTCTGGCATCATATTCCTATAATTGTACTGAGGGCAGTAGCACCCCTTGGACCCTCTTCTTCTTAATTTATATACATTTCTGTTGACAGGCCTGATTGTACCTTTAGCAGATCATAATAGTAGTAGTAGACAATAGATATAGTATTTTAAAACAAGGATGTCTGGATCCTACACTGTTCATTAGATGTTACCAAAAAGAAATATTGTGCAGAAAGACTTTTATATGTTTTACATCCAATATGATGGCTTTGTCCCCAAAAGAAGTCTTCACCCCAGTAAATGGGTTCAGGCAGCAGAACAAGAGGAATATTGAACATTTTTTACAACTTCAAAAGATCTGTGTTTTATGTGAAAAATGATTCAGCCTTCTGGAAGAAATGGAAAAATGACAACAGTAAATATACTAACAGTAATTTCACATTTGTGCCCACACTTCACTTGGAAGATTATCAAAGGCTATAGAGCAAAATGCCTCTGTGTTTTATTGAACTGTAATCATTGGTGCTGTTAAAAAGCTCAATCTGACATGCTACAGAGACAGCAAATCCAACCATTGTTACATTCAGTCTATGTTATGTCATCATCAACTAATCTGTTATTAAAATATTCCTTTGCTATACATCCTTCTAACAGACTAATGAATGTGCATAAGAGAAATAGATAGACAGATAGTCTGCAGTGTTATTCACTTGTAGCTATGAACTAATGCCACTCATCTTGGATTGCAATATATTTTAATGGCCATATCTGTTCTTTTACCAAACCAATAAAATGACATCAATGACAGTGACTCCATCCAATTTATGCGCTTTGAAGTTGAATTATATGCTCTCTCTGCTACTTTATATGCACAATCTTTTAGTTATTTAGTACATCAATTCTTCTAACATACATTTTTATTTAACAGCAGGCTTTTGTTGACCTCTCTGTGTGGCAAAGCTCAAATGCGTAAAACCTGATTATTCAATTGTATTTATAGTTGAAAATGCATGTGTGGATTTGCAAGGCATGTCAGCAGATTGGCTTATATTTAGTCTGATAATAAAGCCAGCAGAGACAGAGAGAGATATTTTCACTGTAGCACAATAATAATACTTCCACAATTCAACCCACATGTAGCATAGCATATTGGTCTGCAGCCCCGGGCCACTGCTCCACTCGCCGTCATGTGGAAGAGGTTTTCCACTCAGTTGTAAAGTCCAACAAACCTCAATACAGTTACCCTAAAGCTACATTCCACACTCTGTGATATGGAGCACCCAAGCCAGATTCGGATTAACACAATTTGCACCTTCTATATACGGAGGTCCAGTCTGTCACATTTGACCTCCAACTCGACCTTCACACCTGAAATCAAACAATCAAATCCAGTTACAAAGAAAGACAGACAGCTCTTTAAAAAGCAAGGATTAGTTACATTTGTGAAATTTAATAATGCAATCAAGAGTGAGAGAATCTAATTTAACTTGTGTTTTGAAATGGTTCGACAACTTTCCTGGGCATTTTGTTTCATCTGTGGTGAGCTGAAACAGTGCAGTATTCATCGCATATACTCACACACATCCTGCCAATGGATCCATAAGTTACAGACAGGGACCAAAACATAACAAGCAGGCCATTTCAAACGTCCAAGCATCTAAGTTTTATATGAGAAGGCCTGGACAACACCTGCCAGGGAATGTTTGACATTTGACCATTTCTGTTGTTGTGACAGCTCCATAATTATCTCATTTAGATTATTAATTTAAGTGGTGTGTGAAAACTGATTTGTGAGCAAGGCAGGCAAATGGGTTTTGGTGAGAAAAAAACATATTTTAACACATGTATCATTTTCATATAATAAAACTGAGAGAAAAGCAATTATGACTTTTTAATTTATTTCTGTATTATTATTTTGTGACAAAATATTGAAAATCTACCAATAATCAATATGTTTAAAAAAAATCTACAAGTACATTTATATCACAGGCACTAATATCTTAATGCATGGCGCTCTTTGTATTAAAAATATTGCTGTGCTGGGACTGTAACAGGGAAAAGGCAAAGGTCAAGCTGAGGTGAGATTGCCTTTTTATTATTTAAGGAAGCAGGGGGTGTTTGTGGCTCAAAAACAATTGACCTGAGTGAGCTTTCAGTGTTTTGGCACAAAAAGAGGCCCAGAGTGCTGACAGAGGAGCAGAGGGGGCGGAGCATCCTGTGTGTGGAGGGGGAAGTGAAGTGGACGGGGGTGAAACTGAGGAAACCCAGCATCATCTACAGGCCGGACACATAAAGGTAAGACAATGCAATCAAATGGACTTACACATGTGTTTTCTACCTGAATTTAGAAGCAGATAATCATAATAGATGGGAAAATATGAATATTTTATAGCCTTAGCCACCTACAACTATACAGTCCAGATTCTAGAAACTCAACTGGACAATGTAGCACTCAGCTGCCATTCAACCACTCTAAATGACTGACAGTGGAGGCAGACACAGACCATATACATCCCTTCACTGACAAATATGCCAAACAAATCATAAATAGCATAAAGGTGAGAATAATGTGAATTATTATAATAATGATCTCTTAACTCTCTTAACTTTTTTTTTTTTTTAGAAATTTTATTTTAGAGTAGTTTAAGCAGCACACTTTTACTCCTACTTGAGTAGCCTAATATTTTTATTGAAGTAACAGTACTTTTGGGGTACTTAAAAGTACTTAAAAGAGTAAAAGTTTGGGTTACTGTAATTAAGTCTACAAGTGATAAAAGGTGTATGTTGAACATATAAATTGATTTGAACATTTGTGTTTCTTGAACTGCTCTTTCAGATATAGCCTAATGTATTTTGAAAAAACTATTTTTTTTCCATTAGTAAATGTTTCGTCCTTCAAATTACATTAACTTTTTTTTTTTTTTTTTTTTTTTGATCACTAAATGTGGTCAAGGCATAAATTATTATATGTTTTAAAGTGAAAAGTTTGATGTCAAAATTAATTAATTATTTTGGCATCCTGTTTATTATGTTGCTGTTTGGGTGTTGTTGTTTGGTGTCTACAATGTTACTTCAATCATCACGGTGACCAACTGGGTCCTATTAGACAATTTGGTCCGTTAATAATTTTAATAATCAGTTCTTACATCTTAAATAAATTATTATCTTTTTTCACATGGATGAACAACGGAGGTATGAATAATATTAACCTATAGTAAGTGTGAGTGACAGAAGGGGAGGAAGTGAATCTCTAAATTGGTGCTGCACTGCCCTCAGGTGGTCACGTGTGGCTCCTGTCATAAAATGACCAGAATAATCACAACAAAGTGTTACTCTTGTGGTTAAACTCCACAGAAGAAGAAGAAGAATGCGTTGTTGTTATGCATAGTAGGCCTCTGTTCAGTCTTCTTTAGCCTATAACATGTAACCTATCTTCTTGGGTCAAAACCTAACCGCGTTTAAAGGTATGCAATATGCTTTTAATTTGTTTTCAGGTTATGACTGAGAGCTGAAGATGAGCATTTGCACATGTAACCGGTAAGTTTAGGACTTTAAATAAATTGTGTGTCTGAGTACATTTTACGGTTGAGAGGCTGCACTTTGACCTTCTTGAAGGAAACTCAACGAAACTCGAAACTCGCAACGAAATGTCACCACGCGCAGGACTTGACCGCTACTAACCAGCACGCGACCAGCGGCACGCGCACAGACTGTGCACACGACCCGAGTGAGCAGAGGGTCAGCATACGGGTCAGCATGAGCAGCAGCAGTGTGGCTAAAGATCCATGTAGCTATAAGGCGATATGTTGCTGTGAAGTTAGCAGAACTTCCATATCCATACTGGCCTGTCCTTGAGCATAGAAAGTGGTCTCGTCAACCATGCGAACTAGCTGTTTGTTTATTATTATCTAAAAGGTTTAAGTATTTTAGATGTAGCGTTAAATGTAAATTTTAGTGTCATTCTGCGCTCAACAAAAAGGCTATACTACGTTCTGTGATTCTGTAAGCCTATGCCCCATGTAAATACAGTGATATGGACTACAGTTCCCTGCTGCCTCAGTGGACTCAGCACATTTCAGCTTGTGGACACACAAAGAGCAGAGCTCATTCCAGGGTCAGACACAGTATTTTCAGAGGTACTGTCAATGTTTGATCGACTCAACCACGATCAGGTCACTCAAGGCGTTCCTTTGACACTGCATAAAGCCTGTCCAGACTGGATGTCCATGCATAGCTATCATGTTGTTTGTGAATAGTTTTGGACTGCAAATCTGATTTAGGATTTATTGAATTTGAATTTAAAAGCAATATAGAGTTTGTTTGACATTGAACAACTTTTTAAACATTTCTCAGTTGTTGGTAAGTCTTGATTTTGTGTGATTTGTATTTCTTCAAATAGTTTGCTGTTAACTAAGGATATTAAAATGTAACAGAGTGTCTGTGGATAGAATCACAAAACTATTTGTGTAATTAGATCAACGTGTGAAATGTGTTCTGATTATAAAACAAAAATGAACTAAATTGTGAAAATGTAATCATTTAATAATGAGTTTGTTTGACTTTTATATTATGGAAAGAGAGGGTGGTCGCTGTGCTGAGATGTCGATGGTCTGCTTGACTGATTTTGAGGAGTACGCCAAGGAGCACCTGTCCAAGGCCACCTGGGATTATTATGCAGCCGGAGCAGACGAATGCTGCACCAGAGATGACAATCTGCTAGCATACAAAAGGTAATATAAACAAAGATTTGTTTTATGAAATTATGTATTTTTTTTTTTTACTCTTTGCATCAGAATCCGACTGAGACCTCGAATCCTGCGCGACGTTTCGGTTTGTGACACTCGGACCACAGTCCAGGGCACAGAAATAAGTTTTCCTGTTGGCATCGCACCAACAGCTTTTCACTGTTTGGCCTGGCACGAAGGAGAGGTGGCTACAGCTCGAGGTAGGCACCAATAACCAAATAATATATACTTTCAAGTAGGCCTACTGGGTAGGAACTTTCACTTGATTGGACTTTATGCATTGGTTCGGGTTTAAAGCTGTTACTACTCTGAGCATCTGAGGTGTCGGCCAGAACACCTCTTAAGGCCCAGATGGATATTCAGACAGAAGGAAAGAATGACGAGAAAAGTTTTGAAATAGAAATAAAACATCCAATTACTAATTGTCCATAATAGACAGGAAAATATAAAGCTTTATAAAATATTAGCTTAGCTCAGGCTAGCTATGCAGAGTAAAGGCTAACAATATTAAAAGGTGAAACTAGAAACTTCAGGAAAACTTCAGCTACAGGAACTACGTTTTTCTCCAGTTAATGCTTACAGAATGCGGGAGACAGGAGTGCCCTCAAGTGGACACTCAACAGATTACAATTGAACCATAATAACTTTACTACAAATCTAACACTACAGAGGAACATGGAAATTATAGGGCCTTTTGTACAAGGCCTCTCACAAAAAAAACAAAAAAAATGGAAGTATGATATATTGCTGAAGTAAATGAAGGTTATTTTGAAACCAAACTATAAAGCAGAATTGTCACCCCAAAAACTATTCTAAATGTAATTGTAAGTGTAATTGTGGAAAAAAAAGAAAAAAAACAGAATGCAACACTTAGTTCGTTTGTATCTATTATGAGTCATAGAAGTTTATAATTCAAACCTCTACACAGCTTAAATCTCATTGTAGTACAGAAAAAAGAACCAGATTTACTCATTAGTGGAAGTCGCCACAATAAATATTGACAACAAAAAAAATATTGTTCCATCTGTCATGTATTGATTGTTAAGTCGAAATAGTATTTATTATGAAACGCCTGCTTTCAGGTGAAATTAATTTATTTGAAACAATGTTGTCATCTCTCTCTCAGCCACAGAGGCACTGAACACCTGCACTTACTCAACCTGCTCAGTGGAGGAGATCGTGGCTGCAGCCCCAAACGGCTATCGCTGGTTCCAGCTCTATGTGTACCGAGACCGGAAACTGTCCGAACACATTGTGCAGCGTGCGGAGAGCCTTGGGTACAAGGCCCTGGTCCTCACTGTAGACGTGCCCTACACCGGCAAACGCAGAAACGACATCCGAAACCAGTTCAAACTCCCACCTCACCTCAAGGTCAAGAACTTTGATGGAGTTTTTCAGGTAAATGTTTTTTCTTATGGTCTGATTTAAATAGGGTTGCTAAAGGGCAGAAAATTTCCCATGGAACCTTTTAGCTCGGAAATTTTGAGAAAAAAAATGTTTTAAAACATGATTTTTGCAAAGTGTTCTTTCCTAGAACTATGTCTTACTTACTTACTTGAACGGCATGTTTGTATATAATATAATCCCCACTCCACTCATACAATGATACATTGAGGACCTATTAACCTTGTAAAACTATACAAAACTGTATCTGTCAAGATAGATGCTTTGCGGTGTGTCTGAAGCTTGTCATGTATATTCTGTAGTGCTTCTGTTATGATAGTCAGCAAACATATATTTGTCTCTCGAATGAGTCCAATTGTGTGTACAATCTCTCAGTTGTCCAGGTGGAATCCATGGCAAATGGAGAAATTCAATTTCTCAACTGGACAAAAGTTTATTGGGTTGAAGACGTTTCGCAGCCTATCCAAGCTGCTTCTTCAGTTCTGGTCATACGCTGGTGGATACTGCCTTATATCTGTCTGAAGGGAGAAAGCCCTCTCTGTTTGTGGCTATCCAAAATGGACTTTCAAAAAAACAAAGAGAGCTAAAAAATCAAGTCAACAGAGAATCAGAACCCAGGAGAAAGGGTGTAACTACTCCTTACATGGCTGGTGTTTCTGAAAAACTACAGAGGACTTTTAGACAACATGCAACCCCAGTCTATTTCAAACCCGCAAACACTTTAAGACAAAAACTGGTCCACCCAAAGGACAAAACACCGAGCCACAAACAAAGCAAAGTGGTCTACTCCATTCAGTGTAGTGAAGACTACAGTGAGCGCTACAGTGGAGAAACAAAACAGCCACTTGACAAAAAGATTTACCAACACAGACGAGAAAGCAGCAGTGGACCTCAGTCTGCCGTATATCTTCACCTAAAAGCCTTGGGCCACTCCTTTGATGACAGTGAGGTACCAGGCATGAAAATCCCTCACCTTTCTGCGAAATTCACCGTTTTGAAGCCAAAACAGGTGACCTAGGTGAATCGTGTAGATTCAATGAGAATAGTTTTGGGTGGGTCTTAGGTCTCAGGTCTCAAACCCGGGCACATTTGGACTCGGTCTTGTCTCGGAATCGAGGTCTGACGCTCATCGTGTGCTATCATATTTCATTACAACCACTGTTGTTGGCAATGAACTTGTACCGGTGTGCAGGAACGCATGGGGCGTCTCTGTGCACAAACTTTTTAAAACATTGTACCTGTCCCACCTGCCTCACCTCAGCGCACCACTCCTCGCATTTTCACGCTCTCTCTCCTCCCCACGTAAAGCGCACACAGGCTCTGTCGCACTGATTCAAAACGAAACGCAAAGCAAAAAGTGGGCTGAAGTTTGCCAATTAAAATGGCACATAAATCTGTGTTTGTCACAATGTGCATTTGGCTTGGTAAGTGTGCAGATGCTAAATACCACGGCAAAACCAGTAAGATAGCTCCAGTTAGGAATAAAATAAAATAAAATCCTACCCACTTTCTTCACTTTTTCTCTTGTTTCCACCACAACATTCTATTTAATATTATATTATGTGTTATTGTGCAGTGACTAATATTGTGAACAACTAATATTTGGGCTTTCCAAGTATTGCCAGATCTAAATCAGGACTTAAACAGAACCATTTTTGGTCTACACAAGGACCATACCAGGTCTAAAATAAGACTACTGAAGCAATGTGTAGTCCTAACCATGAATTAAGCCAAAAAGAGGAAGAAAATGTGGATAAAATAGAAACAACAATTTAAAACAAATTTCACAAAACTAGGAACTTGCTCAGCATTATGGTGCAACATTAATCAAAGAATAGTAATATAAACTATGATGAAATAAAAATACAGGCATGCATTAAAATAAGGTAAAAATGAACTTTGATATACTCTAAACTAAAGTAAATACTAGAACTGCAAAGGAATCCTCTACGTACCATCTGAAGAAGCTCAGGTATACATACAGTTCGAGAAACATTGCACTAGTTTCAGCCCTCAAAATGTCTTTCTATCTGTTATGAGTCAGTTTAATAATGAACATGATACATTTAATGGCATATTATGGAAAAGTTAAATTTTGTGCCTTTTTCCAAGATATAACATGTATTGAATAGGCCTCTCATGATAATTTCTATCATACTATTACTATTAATATTATATCAACTAATTACACTGGGGGGGCGGGGGTTCAATATTTATCGTGTATACTTTACTAAGATTTAAGACACAAAAGGTTTAATTAATAATGTCTATGACTCATTACAGATGCAAAAGTAGGTACTAAAGTTATTCTGCTATTTATTTATTGCAGTGATTTTTTTTTTAACAATATTGAACATTTAGAAAAGTTTTTAGTAGTATCACTTTGCTCTTGGATGTTAGTGTCAGTGGCATGAATGTGTTTCAGTATTATCATTTACCATCTATATTTACTTCAGCAACATATATATTCAAACTTGTTTACCATGACAGGCCTCGTATCAGATATCATGAAACTGTTCCATAATGTGCAATTGCTGTCACATCTTGTTTTGCCTGATATTCTTAGCAGGCTGAGGCGTACGGTGTCCCACCTGACACACTGGACCCTTCCATCAGCTGGAAGGACGTGCAGTGGCTCCAGTCCATCACCCGCCTGCCCATCATCATCAAAGGCATCCTGACCAAAGAGGACGCAGAGCTGGCTGTGGAGCATGGGGTCCAGGGCATCATTGTGTCCAACCATGGGGGGAGGCAGCTGGATGGGGGCCCTGCCTCGGTAAAAAATTATTTAATCAACTGTTGTGATTAAGGCACTTAGCTGCATAATATACTACAAATGTTTTACTATTACCACTCATCTTATGACTGATTTATGGCCCAGTGAAATAGAACTTCTAAGTTCTAAATTTAGGTGTGTTTAGGAATTAAATGTCCTATTTTATGCTAAATTGACTAATGTGAGTTTTTAGCCATATTGAAACTTTGTTACCAAAAACATACCTGGAGTTGTGTTTTGTTTCATTCACACATGTCTAAGTAATCCTTTATTATTAGTCTGTCTACACCAGCTCAAAATGTTCTGTTCCATCTTGTGGTGTCATTCAGCAGTAGTGTTAATGTAAACATCACCTTTTACTCTTAGTTCAAAGATATTGACAATTCTAGGACTGACATTATCCAAATAATTGTAATGATTAATTTGTGATAGTATTCTGTTTTCTGATCTGATTTAAATGTACGAAATTTGGCTTTTTTGGGTCATTCCTATTAATACAATCATCAAATACAATCCATATGCTATTTGTAACCGTGTTACCATGGTAAGGCGCCAAATCTTCAATGTTATCGTAATGGGAAAGATCCCAAAAATTCCCATTCAAAATAAAAATATTTGTATCATGGAATCCTGTAAAATTTGGTACAATAACTCTTTATGTCATCCCGATCAAAAAAGTCAAAGACAATCATATACTATATTTCACTGGGTTGCCATGGCGATGTGCTAAAGCACCCATGTTATCTTTATGGCAAAATCTCTACATTCTACTATCTCTACTATTTCCTTACATTTCAAAGTGATAAAACAACTTATTGCTTTCATTGACGAACGTGAAATTTTGTGATTCTTCAGGTCACCCCATCCAAAAAAATCCGGGGCACCAAAGTCGTATTTTGCACGGTGTTGTCATGGCGATGTCCCTCAGCGCCCATGTTTGTTTATGTTAGCACATCAGCATCTCTCTTGGAGCGTTTAGTGACAAGTACAGCCCAAAGCCACAATCACACGGAGACAAATGGCACGTCAGCACCACACAGGGGAAGTGCCGGGTTGGTCGAGTGCTAGTCGCGGCCTGCGAAGGCCGTTTGATGCTGCTTGCGGCTTTAATTATATTATTATTATTATTATTATTATTATTAGGCTTTATGGACAACACTATTAAACACGGAATGGGGAACATAGTGCAAGAGACTGAATACATTGACTGGGCGGGATCTCAAACACGACATACAACAACATACATAATTTATACAATAAAGCAATGAAGTTATAGTACTATTAAATATACAAATGTTTTTTTGTGTTCTGCTTTTCATACCCACAGATTGATGCTTTAGCAGAGATCGTGAACACAGTGCGGGGCAGGATTGAAGTGTATGTGGACGGGGGGATCAGGACGGGCAGTGACGTCCTCAAAGCTCTAGCTTTAGGAGCCAAGTGTGTATTCATCGGACGCCCAGCTATTTGGGGTCTAGCCTACAAGGTACGAAACTGATGTAATGTTAGTTGTCAAAAAATCTATTCTACCAATTTTTTTTTTTTTTTGTTGGCGGTCATGGCTTAAATTTTGCATGTTTACATCATATATATATATATATATGTATATATATATATATATATATATATAAGAAAGTGGACAGTTGTTGGAATGTTCAAAACTTTATATTCTTTTACCATACTGTGGATCATTCCAGGCAAAGCAATAGTATTTTCATGAGACAAGCTCTGCACCAGAAAACTTACAAAGTGCAACATAATTTTAGGGTGAAGAAGGAGTGAGAGAAGTCCTACAAATTTTAAATGATGAGTTTCGCCTGTCCATGGCACTATCAGGTAAATACATGCAATTGTTTGTTTGCATTATATTTGAGGTATGTGTTTAAATGATGTTTTCAATATTTCCTTAGGTTGCAGGAACGTGGCTGAAATAAGCAGGGACCTCATTCAGTGTTCTAAACTGTAATGCACCAGCAGGGGGCAGCACCATGGCAGAAAACAAGACTTTCTGACACTAATGAAAGATGTAAACAGGACATACAAAAGTACAAAAACAAAACATTCTAATCAGACTTCTTTTGTGGAGAATATATGACCTACATTAGACTCATTCACATGCAAAAGTCTCAAAACTAAGCTAGGACACATGATTGGTAAATATAAAAATTGTGATGTAATGGAGAACACTTAACTCTAAATCTCTTTAGCTCTATCTGGAAAAATGCAGTCCTTGACACAGTACTGGTTCTTATGATTAAATAAAAGCATTCTCAAATGATGAAATATATCTTAGATTTTATTTCATTACTATATCAAATGTGATATTTTACTCATCATACAAGATTAACCATATGATTCAATGATTGTAATATTAGGCACATTAATAGTAGTATCTGACACATAGACCTTAAATAGAGCTCTTTAGTTACCGTGTTATTTGGTGTAAGTTGTGTTTCATATAGGGTGCAGTAAGGAGAAGTAGCACAGGAAGTGACTGAGGTCTTGGTTTGAAGGCGTGAAAACGGTGGTCATTGTTGGTGCATAGACTAGAAGCTGTGTGCATTGTACAGAAGAAGTTCCTCCTCAGTTTCTGTTTTTCTCTGAGTTTGTTTGGGGTTGACCGTCAGGCTGGAGTCCAGTCTAGGGTCCGGCCTGTTTGGGAGGCTCTCACTCAGGTAAGTCTTTTCGGCTGCTACAGGTAAAATGCATACATGTGTTCAAACTGGGAAAACCCCATACCACTAATTTTCAAAATGTACACGACAGGTGCACGTTGAGCACTATTTTCTAGAAAAATGCCATATTGATTCTTCAGTTGAATTCAGTTAAGTATTTTTATTTTGTTGGAGCTCACATTATCCACATGGAGTACAATTATATAGTGTTAAGTTGGAAGAGTTTTTTCCTGAAGTGACACTTTTAGTGGTGTAAAAAGTTTGCCATCAGCTTATCTCCATGGAGATGTGGTTTACAGTAAAAATGCATGCTTTTCAAGATATTTTAGAGCAATGATTAAAAAAAAACAACTTGTTGATCAATCAAGTTTGTTTAAAATATTCCTATAATTGAACACTGTACTTCTTGCTATACTGTGGAAAATTCGAAATAAAGCAACAGCATCTCCACAGAATCAAGCAGACAGCAAACCTGAAAAGTTACACTGTGCACCTTTTTTAAATACCAAGCTGAACGATAAACCAACTGAAAACTGCAGGGATGGTGATGATGTGCTCCTCCAAGGTCTTTATGCAAGCCAGAGTGACTCACTTATTCTGGTCAATGTCTTATGACAGTAGAATTCAGGCTAAGCAAAACCATGAGTTTTGTGTGGGTGAAGTCACATATTCACAGAACCATGTGAATACCTCACCAACAATTGTGGGAAGAAACTGAAAAAGTACCTAATACTAATCAACAGCACAAGAACCCTGTCCACTTGTATGACAGTTACATAAAGTATACAATGTTTGTGCTTATTAAATAGGCATAGTCTTATACAGTTCATAAAAATAGTAAACTCTGTGAAATAAGTACATAAGAAAAATAAGTTAAAAAAAAGGGAAGCTGATCTATTGTTTCACAACTAACCACAGTTATCTAAAAATTACACTTTATATCAGTTTGAAACTCCTATAGTAGAAATGTTCAGATAAGATTTTACACCCACGAGACACTATGATGATGTTGCATTTCATCATTCTGTCTATCAAATATATTTTTCCATATGGTAACTAATGTTTTCATTTAGGAGGCATTCCCGGCGCAACAGCAGCCCTCAACCCAGAGAAGCCGTTGATGCTGGGTAAGGTTCTGTCCTACTACACATGCAATCTCTATCGCTTTGCAAATATTTAATTTTCTTTTTGGCAGTTATTTTTGCTCACTTCCATATGACTACTGTTTTTAAGAAAGTACTTCCTCATTTACTTTCCTCCAATCATGCATACACTAAACTGTGTATGCTATTTATATTTAATGACTAACTTTGCTTAATATTTAATTTCTAACTTTATTTTTTAAGAATCTTTAATAGACAGCAAAATTTCTGTTTGCGTTTGTTCATAGAGCGAATGGTGACGATGGCAGTGGAGGAGGGCTCAGAGGCAGACTGTCCCGAATGGGGAGCAGACACCGGGACAATCCGCGAGCTCAGGCCCAACCAGAAAGGCCAGCTGTGCCACCTGATCCCCCCTGTGCAACAAGGTGTGTGTGGTTCTGTTCATACTGTATAGGGTGCCTTAAAAGTCTTGCTGGTGTATCACTCTTGGTTATATTATTATCTTATTTATTTATGATCTGCGGTGGATGTCTATTTATGTTTATGTTTATGTTTATGTTGCTGTGTTGTCTTGTCTTTATGTTAGAGACCTCTCATTAGTTAGTGACCCCTCATCCCAAGACAAATTTCTCCCATGGGAGACAATAAAGGATTATCTTACCTTATTTTATTTTATCTTATCTTATCTGATGGAGGGTCTGCCACCTGCTTGACTCCATGGAGATGTTTTTGTTGTAGCCAGAGATGTTCCCCAGAATGGCATTATACTTATTTGTCATCATGGTGACAAGCAGGTAAAGTAGGTCAAGTTTTTAGGTCAGATCTGTGGAGACTATCCTGTTCACAGGAAGGATGCTTTTCAGGGTAGTGTTATTTAACAATAAAAACAACCATAGATAAATCAATGCAAGATAAGTTAAATGTCATACAGTGGAACATACCTACCAAAGCATTAACATCTCTATGGAGACAAGTAGGTGATGAAATGGCCACCAGAAAATTAACATAGAGTACTTAAATAATATACGCAGCATGATGTGTGAAAAATGGGCATGACAAAAAATGTAATAGGTTTTGTGTGTTGTTTGGTTTCAGAGGTCAGACCGTCTTATCCTGCCCCTGCTCCCCCTCCCACCCCTCTGCCTCCACCTTTGTCAACTTTACCCAAACGGCCTGATAAATCCACCAAGCCCAAACTTCCTCCAAGGCCACTGTCCAAAGTCTTCATGAGTAAAGAACACGAGTCAGAAGTATTGCAGGTACTAAAAAATGTATCCTTTATGGCAATGCTTTTTTATATACAACTCTTAATATACATTCTTGTGATTTCAACAAATGTAATCTGTTTTTCCAAAGGGTCTGGATTCATTCCGGGCCAGTGACGTCCTCTGTGATGTGGTGCTGATTCCTGGAGACAGTAATGAAAAATTCCCAGTTCACAGAGTTATCATGGCTTCGTCCAGTGACTACTTCAAGGCCATGTTCACAGGTGGGAATGCAGAAGGGCAGACAAAATACTGTGTGTCTTCTTTAATTGAAAATTCTTAACAAGTATTATATTATATATTTATTATAATATACCACAAGTCTCCTAAAGTAGTTGCTATTTATATGAAAAAGTTGTTGCTATTTACATGAAAAAGTAGTTGCTATTTACATGAAATGTGGAAGTTGCCATATAAAGCAGTTAGCTGTCAATCACAGACACAGCAGCAAGAGAGCACCTGATGAAATATTTGCACTCTGCCATAAAACAGAAACATTTCAAGACTACATATTCTACCTTTTGAACGGTAAGAAGTACTCTAAATGGTGGCTGTAAACAGAAAGTTGAAACCCATGCATGCATTTTTGACATTACATTGATTTAAATATTTATTTTCTCCAATACATTATAAAATATATGTGTATTATTTGTAAAAGTGTATGTTTGTGTAGATTACTGTTTTGGAAGTACAATAATTTGACTTCGACTTTCACATTCACAATGACAGGGCTCAAAGGATCTACTATAAGCATTTGAATATTGCTGAGTTTGCATATAGGTTGTAAGACATTGTTTGACCTTCCCCACTGCCTTTGTATTATCTCTGTTCCAGGAGGCATGAGGGAGCAGGAGATGACGGAGATTAAACTGCTTGGAGTCACTAAGCTGGGTTTGAGAAACATCATAGACTTCATTTACACATCCAAAGTCAGTCTGGACATGGGCAACCTCCAGGACACACTGGAAGCAGCAAACTTTCTGCAGGTTATCCCTGTTCTGCGATTCTGCAATCAGCTCCTCTGCAGTGAGGTGAGAGGGAGAACTATACCAGTGACAGTACTCTAAAAGGGCACTATGAAACTTTTCTGGTTCAGGGTCTGCCACCTACTTGCCTCCATGGAGACGTATTTGTTTTAGCCTGAATTGGCAGAATGGCATTATAATTATTTGTCTCCATGGTGAAAAGCAGGTGGCACCACTAGGATAACAGAGATGAAGTTGCATGGAGTCTGCACGATTTGATTTCTTAATGGTTCTTACTACAATGAATATAGCGGTGTCAAATAGAAGTACGAAACATATTCAATTTGTGGTAGTACTTTGTGCAAAAAACGATTTCTACCACCAGTATTATACAATTATTGCAATTCTTATTATGAGTACAATGATGGCCCAAGTTTCAAAAGTGCTTGTTTGTATCCAATGAAGATTTTTTTTTTATTATTTCTATTTCAAATAATTTCTATTTCTATGCAGGTGACTATTGAAAACTGTGTTGAAGTAGAGCATATTGCTACAGACTTGAATCTTGAGGATGTTCAAGCCAACATAGGTGAGTTAGAATTTCAAACTTAATTTTGAGAGAAAGAACTTTTTGAGGAAAAGGCTTAAAACTTAAAGCAGATACCACAATGATAATATATTTTTATACAACTGAATGTAATTTGCAAAACATGATTGTTGTTTTATTCTCATACTAATTCTGATGTGTTTCACAACCATTTAAAATTATACAGGAAAGAAAACATCCTATATGTGGATCTATAGATGCCATGCTAGTTTCAGTATTGTTACTGTTCTGATATAGAGTTTGTTTTCTTTTTGACAAGAATTTATGTTTGCTCTTGACTGAACTAAAAATATGCAGTGTTTTAATGACATGATGATATGCATGATTATGGGTCCTTGCAGGCGAGTTTGTGAGCCAGAACCTGCAGTCCATGATGGAGTCTGGCCTTCACTTGCAGCTGTCGGCCTCCACCATGGCCAAAGCTCTGTCCAGAAACGCTCTGAAAGGCTTCTCTGAGATGGAGCTCTACCAAATCGCTAAAGAGTGGCTGGACCATGACCCCCCAAACCGCCACTCCTCTGTCTACACTCTGATGAAGCACATTCGCTTTCCTCTAATGAGCCCCAGTGACCTCATACACATCTCACAGGCTGAGGTGGGTAGAGCTGTAACAATTTTCTCTCATTGTAGCTCAAAATTAGTCATGTGAATGGTGAGTAAGTAAATTAAGGAACTACTCAATGCTGACTGCAGTGACAAGGCTGTGTTTTGCTTGAAGATCAGATAAAACATGTATGCATTTCAAGTCAATTATATGGGTTATAGCGATGTACCTATCCCATTCAGCACAATGTAATATCATGTAATAACATATAACTTGACACTCTAACCATTACTACTATGTTGTTATAGTTGCTACTTCCAAATCATATTCCTCAATAAGAAGAAAAAGTTATTCAAATTATTTTTAAAAAGTGAATGCAAAATTTCAGCTTCAAGGTGCACTATGTAACTTTGTAACACTCTAGCTCCATTTCAAGTTACAGATTGGTGGAGAGGCGAGCCCACTCATAATCAGAATGTGGTGAATAAATACCTCTAATAGATTAGTAGCACAATAGATACTATAACCCTCCAAGAAAAGCATCTCTATGGAGACACGCAGGTGGCGGACCTTCCACCAGAAACACTACATAGTGCAATTTAAGTGAAAGCAGTACTGTTGGAAAAATACATTTCTGTTATTCATGTTATTCATGTTATTAGTACAGTGTTACTGAAAAGTCAAGTACTCATTTCTTCTGCCATGTGCCAACAGGAGGGTGGAGGGGACTCTCTGATGCGCACTGATGCAGCTTGTGTGAACCTGCTGCTGGAGGCCAGTAACTACCAAATGATGCCGTACATGCAGCCGGCCTTGCAGACTGAGAGAACCCAGATCCGATCTGACTCCACCCACATCCTGGCTTTGGGCGGGGTCATGAGGCAGCAGCTAGTGGTCAGTCGTGAGCTCAGACTGTACGATGAGAAGACTGGACACTGGAGAGCACTCAAACCCATGGAGTCCCCTCGATACCAGCATGGAGTGGCCCTGCTAGGGGGGTTTCTGTTCATTGTTGGAGGTTTGAAAATATTGTAAAACACTAAGTGCAAATGTTGATTCATCAGTATTACAGCAATATTACAGTATTGAAAAAAAAGAAGAAGAAGAACATTTAAAGATATGAATCTGTTAAATCTTCCAACTAAGGTTGTCATGACCAAACCTAGTCCAAGATCTGGGTTTCAGGCGCTGTAGTGTTTAATACATGGAAGTGTAACAACTATTTTTCAGGGATAAGAATGTAATCACAAAACTGTAATACAATACACTGAGAAAAGTTACTAACAGTAAGTTATTAATATACAGTTAATATCTTGATGCTTTGAGATATGATTACCTCTACTGCCACAGCTTATAATCACCCATAGAAATCCCACAAAAAATTATGTTCTCTTCACAAATTCCAATTTTTTAAATATGTTTGACCATAAGCATATATGTGTATATTAATCCTATCAGGGTTTTAAACTATAATTTACAAGCACTCTGTTTTGTCTTTAGGGCAGAGTACATATGACACAAAGGGTAAAACTGCTATTGACAGTGCATACCGCTATGACCCACGGTTTAACAAGTGGCTGCAGATCGCTTCACTCAATGAGAAGAGAACCTTCTTCCATCTGAGCGCTCTCAAAGGGAAACTGTATGCAGTGGGGGGACGAAATGCTACAGGAGAGATTGGTAAGTAATGTCTTTAAATCTTTTCTTGTGCAGAATATGGAACATCTCAATATTAAGTGATCATTTGTTTTTGTTTTTTTAGACAGTGTTGAATGCTACAACCTGAAGAAGAATGAGTGGACTTTTGTGACCAACATGATGGAGCCGCATTATGGACACGCAGGGACCGTCCATGGAGATCTCATGTACATCTCAGGTACAGGGCAACAGAAAACCTAAAGGATCAATACAGCTTTATTGCCATAGTTGGTGAAATCAATAATAGTTAAACAAAAAAAATAATCTGAATAAGCTGCCAGCCAGAACCACAAGTTTTGGCAAAACTTTACAAGAGAGAGACATTCGATCTGTTCAAGTAAAAACAAACATGGCAGTTTTGGAGTGTAAAAAAGGAAGAAAAAAACCCCCACAGTGGACTGAAAAACAGTGCAGATTTCTGCAGAATCAACTATCAAAACACTATACTGTTATCTATCTCTCTTTCTGGATTCAAACAAAATGTAGAAGGGACTGACTGGGGCTGAAGTTAGGGGCATTGTATTTGAACATAATTCAACATAAAGAACATAAATTAATAAAGCACTTCTGTATTCAAAATGTAGGCCCGGTATATTTCAAACCACTTCCTGGTTGCAGAAAAACCTCATCCCAGTCTCAGGTTGTCTCTCAGCCGCCTTGGACAGGAAATAGATTCACGGGCCTCACTCACATGAAGAAAAGTATCCGTTTCTCATGTATCAGTGAAAGCCATAAAGTACAAAAGGTTATGGTCTGTGGGACTTTGAGCACTCCCCCATACAGTTTAGTTTCATTTAGTTAACTATCCAGTATAATACAGAGAAAGGTTAAAGCAGACCTATCAGGCAAAATCTTTTCAGAGCTTTTAACCTTGTTATAATTGTGTCCCCTTCTCATTTACCACCTCAAAGTTATTCGGGGTGATTTGGGCGTGTTTAAGCAATCTTTAATTGCTTATTTCTAAGATGCCATATTGCCAGTCAACCCCCATTTTCACTGCCACAGGCACACACCCACTGCTCTGTACTTACTACATTCTCCAATTTTATTTTCTTAATCAGTTATATGTGTTGTCACTTTGGTACAAATGGAAAAAAAAATCTGTTACACACTAGTCTGACTACCTTATCTATCTATAGAGAGAGAGAGAGAAAAAAGTTACATAGTGCACCTTTTAACATATAATTTATTTTGTAGGTGGCATCACGCGTGACACGTTTCAAAAGGAGCTCTGGAGTTACGACCCTGTGTCGGACTCGTGGACTCGGAGGGCGGACATGATTGATCTGCGTGGCCTTCACTGCATGTGCACTGTGGGGGACCGCCTCTACGTGATGGGAGGAAACCACTTTAGGGGCTGTAGCGACTATGATGATGTCCTGAGCTGTGAATACTACAGCCCTGCTACAGACCAGTGGACCGTGGTCGCACCCATGCCCCGCGGACAAAGCGATGTCGGGGTCACTGTGTTTAATGGACAGGTGTATGTGGTGGGGGGGTATTCCTGGAACAGCCGCTGTATGGTAGATATAGTGCAGAGGTACGATCCTGAAAAAGACGTTTGGGATAGAGTATTTAATGTGCTGGAGCCACTGGGAGGCATCAGGGCCTGTACGATGACGGTGCACCTGCCAGAGGGGTCAGTGGACGAGGTGGAGATACAAGAGGGTCCACTGCAAGCTTCATGCAGCTAATGTAGCACATTTGGGGGTAGTTGAAGCTAGGAGGGGGCAATATTAATAAATTGAATATACTGATGTAACAGTAATCATATTATATTTTTGTAATTCATCAGAAATGTGCTCAAAACTTGGTTGGCGTTGAAGTATCCCACAAATGTGAATGTGCAACCAAAAGAGCAGAAATTTTACTTTCTATATGTGGGTTTCAGAGTGGTGAACAATTAGGACTATTACCATAGCAATCACTAATTTACAAAAGAATAATTTACAAAGTAGCAAATATATGAAATTGAAAACTAATGAATACCCATCAGGAAAATTTCTGTTATTTTTTAATCATGTTTGCAGCTTTTTTGGCCTTCTGGCCAATTACTTTGACATTAGACAGTGTTAGGCACCTCTGTGTGAAACTATTGTCTAAACGTGTCAGCCACAGTTAAATGAAGTCAAACAGGAAGTGTGTGGGCTCGGCAGGTGCAAACACGCAGTCTGCAGCTGTGCACAATAATTACAAACACATGAGATGCCTCAATGTAAATATTTAACCCTGCATCCCAGAAATGTAATATGTATGTTATATGTAATATGTATGTCACCCTATGTTCTTGTCTTTTCACTGAGAAAAGATGAGAAAGAACTAAGAAATTTTCCTGTGAGAAATGGGTCAAATTGTGTTTGTGCTTAATAGAGATAAAGTCAACCACAGCAACCCTATCAGACATGGATCTTTATTTTCTGTATTTATTCTCTCTTATCGTTGTAAAGCATTCTGTGAGAACAGAAAATGCCAGAATATGTTTAAAACTGACTGATCTAGAAGTGTATTGTAAAATGTGTGTAATAATAGTATTATTAGTAGTAGTACTAATATTTATAAGGCAAACAGTATTGTGGTCAACAAAATATTTTTAGTATTTTGGAGACATAACTTGTTTTTTTTAAATAACATAAAAACAACTAAAAACAACTACTTTTCAAATAAAATATTAACTAAGTTAAAAGTAAATTTCTTGTCATGTCTTCTCATTTATTCAACAGCTTTTAAAAGATTTCCTATATCAGTCATACAGCCTTGAGACTTCAACCTTCAAACTTAGGATAAAACCAAGGACTACAGACTGAAGGGGCAGTTTACCAAAAAGCTATGAAAACAACATTCTAACTAAGTTTCAAATTGCATTACAGTGCCCAGGAAATGAGAGCAACAAAACAGTCAAAGTTTCCAAAATGCTTAGCAGAGATCGTTTTATTTTAGGGAATACAGTGAAAAATTCTCCCATTATGACTTTTATTCGGCCTTGGCCTTATCTCATGAGTGGGAAGCATTAAAAACAACTAAATTATTAAGTGGTTCAGAATAGAGCCTGCAATAATTGTCCACATAATTTCCATTAAATGTGTTCCAAAGAAAGGTTGTATAAAAACTTTGTGTTCTTTGGAGCACATCTTGTACTTATTTTCAAGCATTACTGTTATTCTCAACCCTTAACAAGTTAATTGTGTACCTATTAAATTAAAAAACAGCTCAAACAGTTAACAATATTTCTCCATAACCTTGGGATATAAACTTTTCCAGATCTTTTTTGTCAAGATTAAAAAGCACCACATTTCTCCCTCAAGTAGCAAAGTCCAACCCACTTTCACTCATTACCTTGACACAATGTTGTTGTTTTTTTGTCAGTTTTTTTTTTTCCTTTTGGCGTTACAAAAAGTGCAGGGCTAAAGCCGAAAGACCAGACCCTGCTGTCATTTGGCAACAGAACACATTCAAGATATAAGATTTGAGAGGAGAGTAGAATATTGGACTGTCTACTATGGCTTTGAATGGGGATGTGTGTGTGGTGACAGGGGCTTGCGGATTTCTGGGCAGAAGACTGGTCCGGCTGCTGCTGGAGGAAGAGCGCCTGAGTGAAATCAGATTGATCGACAGACAAATCAAACTGGAAGATGTTCAGAGTTTTAATGGTAAAAACTTGTATTTTCTATTTAGCCTTTTGATGCATTCTCATGAAAGCTTATTGTAAAAATGCAGATTTTTTATGCTTATATTTAAAGGTGCATTGTGTAACTTTTCTGGTAGAGGGTCTGTCAAATGCTTTTCTTACTGCTTTGTCTGGAATGTTTAACAGTATCTTCGTGAAGATCATACCAGACCAATACCATCTGTGGACAGACAGCTCCACTCAGTCAGAATGCCTGTTTTTCAAGGTATTTCTGAGCTATAGCCACCTGTAAGTGAATACATTTAAGGCAGAGCAGTTTAATGTCATACTGTGGAACATTCCAGGCAGTGCAATGACATCTCCAAACAAGCAGGTAACGGAAACTCCACCAGAAAAGTTACACAATGCTTCTTTAAAGGCTTATGTGCTTTTTATAGAATATAACATTACTTTAATTTGAACGGTTTGATACAAGACTTGGTTGAATATTGCCAATATCTTTACCATTGTGATAGGATACCCTAAGATCTTGCAAGAGTCTACATAATTTAGTGCTTCTCATTAGCTTTATCTTTTTTCCTTTTTTTTCCCCTTTTTTCGCCTGTTTTGTCAGACTGCAGAGGAGACACTCGGGTGCGTGCCTATGAGGGAGACATTCGGGACAGCGCCTTTCTGAGACGAGCCTGCCGAGGGGCATCCACTGTCTTTCATATGGCCTGCCTGATTGATGTCAGAGGAAAGGTGGAGTTCAGTGAGCTGTATGGAGTCAATGTCAAAGGTAAACGCCAAATACTATCCCACTGTTTACCACTGTACACTGTATTTAAAAGTTAAAAAAAAAAAGTCTTTGTATTGTCTTTGTACAGCATCTTTGAATCTCTTTTGAAAAGCACTAGCCTATGTAAATTTGATATATTGGTTACTATAAACATGGATTGTTCATATGTAGGTATTTGTGGTTGCAGGTTGGGTGAAATGCAGAGGACAAATTTCCCTGCAGAGACATTATCTAGAGTCTACAAATACAAATATTTTATCTGAGAAACTGGAAAACCTTGTTGATGTTAACACTTCGTAGAGTAACAGACATACCTAGAAATGTATTTCTAAGGCAGAGACACATAACATGATAATGACATTGAGTGTCACATTGAATGAGAGATTGGCCAATATATCAGACAGCGTATTAACTATCGGCCTTAAATCTTCAGCATATTTAGTTTGGACCAATCAGCTGCCTAAAAAAACATGCTTAAATCATAATAATGTGAAGAGTACACCGCACAAAAGGTGACTACTCCATTCTCTTATCCAATTTGTAATAACAGGGCGGTAGCTGAGTTTGTACTAAATTAAAACTGTATATTTGGGGGGGGGAATTCACATCTGCACTACATATCAGTTAATCTCTACACTGACTGAGCATACGTTATAAAATGTTTATTTAGAAATAAAAATGATTAACTTATATTTTAATCCAGGTACCCAACTGCTCCTGGAAGCTTGTATTGAGGAGAATGTGCCCTCCTTTATCTACACCAGCAGTATAGAGGTCATGGGCCCAAACCCTAGTGGTGACCCCGTCTATAACGGGACAGAGGAAACACAGTACAAATGCGCCGTCAAGTTTCCCTATGGTAAAACCAAAAGGGAGGGAGAAGAGAGGACACTACGGGCCAATGGTGAGCTACTGCTCGATGGGACCCGGCTGGCCACATGCGCCCTTCGACCCATGTACATTTATGGAGAAGGGTGCCGTTTCCTCTTGGGGCATATGGCAGATGGGGTACGCAACAAGAACGTCCTGTATCGTTTGTCCTTACAAGAAGCAAAGGTGAACCCTGTTTATGTAGGAAATGTAGCTCTAGCTCATCTTCAAGCAGCACGCAGTCTGAAAGATTCCAATAAACGAAATATCATAGGGGGGAGGTTTTACTACATATCGGATGACACGCCTCCAGTCAGTTACTCAGACTTTAACCATGTGATGATGTCCCCTCTGGGCTTCCATATCCAGGACAAACTACCATTGCCCCTGTGTTTGCTGTATTTGCTGTGTTTTGTGTTGGAATGGGGCTGTGCAATACTGCGTCCTTTCATTCGCCTGGTCCCACCTCTGACTCGACATCTGGTCACAATGTTAAACACACACTTCACTTTCTCCTATAAGAGGGCGCAGGTCGAGCTGGGATATACCCCTAGGTACAGCTGGCAAGAAGCACGCAAAGGTACTATAGAGTGGCTCGCAAGCCAGCTACCAGAAATTAGAGAGAAAATAGAAACATGATTATTTTCTACTGTCTCTTCCTCTGCATGTGCTGTAATCATAAGAACTTGCTATGACATAACATTGAATGCTTGCCCAAAGTTTCTTTTTTTCTTGTGAAATACCTTTTAAGTAGCCATAGTTTTGAAAATGATATGTTAACTGTAAATGGAACTGATTGTTTATTATGTCATGTTAATTAAAAAGAAAATCTCAACTACTGTATTGCTTGTCCCTATACTTTACATTACAATATCAGCACGTTTTATGAATTTACTATTAACTCTATCATCTCTTTGACTGAACACTTTTTTTTTTTCCTGCCATTTTGAAGAACTAGGAAGTGAGGCATTCTGATTAGCTGGTTTAATGTACAGATACCATGCTATTGCTAAAGAAGTTACCACTTCACACATGAATGTATTACATAAGAGCACTGATAATGGAAAAATCTGTCAGATTTAATCAATAGTTATCGATGTCCCCAGACACAACAGTATGACCCCTCCTCATTGAACACTGAACCACACACAGAGCTGTGGCTTAGGCCAGAGTCCAGCCTGTCCAAACAAACAGCTATTGACCACCACCGTTGTCATGGATCCACAACAGAAACAGAGCAAAGAGTGAAGAGAGAAAAAACAGCAGCTGTACATACATCCAACCGCAAAGCAGAGCTAAACTATGGAAAGGTCTACAGTGTCCTCTGGTTCTGTGCCCTTATTTTAGGGTTCAAACTCTGTTCTTGTGCATGATTCTCGAGTGATAAGCCTGAAGAAAAGCCTGGAAACTCTACGCTCAGTCGTTTTTGCTGAAGAAATGTTCTGGGGATACACTGTCACTGCTTTCCTATGTGCACAGGCCCTGCACATCAGGTCAGAAGAGCTTGGTAAGTTAAACATGCGTTTTGTTTGTCCAGTGATAAGCTACTACAGGCTTTATACTTACATATTATCTGACATATTGACAAAAAATTTTTAGGCTAGTCCAGTGTTCTGTTAGATACAATGTCCACTCAAGCGATCAATGCTACAGAACAAGGCAAATACTTCTGATGACATCTGATAACCTTCAAACAGTTAATATGTGCCTCCACCTCTGCATTCTCTCTCACAGCAAACTAACCTCACATCTTCTTTCATTACCTAAATCTCCTTTTTGGGTTTGACCCTTAAGGTACATACTTCTGCATGTCACTTATACAATACAAGAATAAGCAACCAGTTCATACATACTTCACTAAGTCTGACCTTTCCATTCATAATACAGGGACAGTTTCCATAGAAGGCACAGATTTTTCTAAATCTTGGCCCTTGTTAACAGTATGGTGGCTAAAATAACCGTATTATGTCTACGAAAGCCATTTCTGATGCCATGTCCAAGTAAAATTATAAACTTCACCAAAATAAAAAGATTTTTAGTAAAATCTTAACTATAATCATGTTAACAATGTTTCAGTGACATTAGTAGTCCAACCATATGCACTTTATTTCCATCCGCCCTCATTTGAAACAATAGAACATTGACATCTTTAGCTGCTATTTTCCAGATATTTCCATCACCAGCTCCAGTCTAATGTCTATTGCACATTTTTTTCTTTCATTAAGCAACATAGATATTATTATTAATCATTATTTGGTTGGTAGATGTGGGTGAACTACAGGAAGATATTGCATGTGCGGATCTCACCAACACCACATGGCAGCAGTACAGACAGCGGACCGAGCTGCAGGTCCGGTATCTGCTACTGACGAGGAACAACCTGGAATGTGCTCAAGCATTCAACCAGGAGTCCCTCTCAAAAACACAGCTTCCACCTTACTTCAACACATCCCTGAAGTCAAAGGTCATTGTCCATGGATACAGGTGAGAAACTGGGATTGAACTGATGAATAACATTAGATAGCTGGCAGATGCTATGACTCCTGGTTGTGTGAGATATGTACACTTAACTTACCGTTCAATATATGAATGCTGGAACAATAACTTTTTGGGGGTCAGTATGTATCCCTACTGAAAATGTGTGAATATTTTTTGTCTCTGTGATAAGATTTGACTTGTGAAAGGTTGATTTATTTATTCATTATAGATGCGAACAAAGTACTAAAGTCTTTTATTAGTATTTGAAGGGATTTTATTTAAGGTATTTCTGACTTTATAAGATCTATTAACAATCTGCCCCAATGGCATATTGTTCTCATTTTCTCATTTCAAATAAATGCTGAAACAAGTCAGACATTTCATGCTTTGAGTGCCTTGAAGATGGAAAAGAGTTATTTAAAAAGTGACCATTAACCATGACCATCTGTACATTATTTTACATTTAACTACATTAAAACTACTCAGTTAAGAAATTTTGACTTTCACTTTTTGTTGTGAACTTTATCTAAATATCTTGTTAACTGAACTGTGTGCAGGGCTAGGGGCAGTAAGCCATCTTGGGTGACGGACTTGGCTCAGGTGTTGCTCCGAGCAGAGGATGTGAACGTGTTGATTGTGGACTGGGTCTATGGAGCGTCCTTCGCTTATAACCTGGTGGTGCAGAGCTACAAAGAGGTGGCTCTGCAGATCTCAGTCCTCATCAACCATCTACAGGTTTGGAAAGCTAAGATGTGTTTGTATACTTATTAGCCAAGACTTACTGATGCAATAAAGCATGCTGTTTTTGACAGAAACAAGGAAGTAAGCTGGACTCGTTTCACTTCATAGGGATCAGTCTGGGAGCACACGTGTCTGGTTTTGTAGGAACTCTATTTGAGGGAAAGATTGGACGAATCACAGGTGAGCCAGCATCCACAACAGCATGTAACTGATGAAGATACATGATCTTTAAAGTGAGCAAGAAATACAACCGGGATGAAGCAGGCAGCATGCTTTCTCCTAATTGATCTATCTTACATTTAGGAAGAAGTATTGTATAGGTCATCAGTGTTGTGTCACATCTCCATAGCAAGCAGGTTTTGTTTTTCTTTTTATAATTAAAATTTCCTATAATCCAATGCATGCTTAGTAAATTCGTTTAATGCAGTGCTGTGGAGGATTCTAGGCAATGCATTATCATCTCTATGAAGACAAGCAGGTGGGGAACTGTCCACCTGAAAAGTTCATGTGAATTAATAAAACCACTTTAAGAAGCTTAGATTGTATTTATAAACACCTGCATTATCTGTCTGGGGTCTATTGTCCAAAACAAAAGTGAAAACAGACAATGGCCGCTTGTTCCTGTATGTGTGCATGTGTGTGAGTGTGTGTCTGTGTGTCTGTCTGCCTGTCTGTGTCTGTCTATCTGTGTGTATGTCAGTAAGTTTGTGTGTAACTCTGCCCTCTCAGTGCTGGACAGTTCAAAGCTCTATAGCTGTGAGATAAGAGTCACTCTGGAGCTGTGAGGAGACACTGTCCTTATGTCCCTGAACACATCATCCAGCACAATGCACCACTGTTGTGTGCTTTGACCGTTCAGTGTGAGGAGAGCAGAAATCTTTATTTGTATACTAAGTCAAATACTTTTAGCAAACAATAGGCAAAATTATACTAATTACTGACCAAATCAACATAGTAGTTAACATTTTTAAAAGCCTGTCCAACCAATACTGATGTTAAGAATACCAAGCTGCAAATTAAAACTGCATTGCACAAATTGTATTGACAAATTGCATGTATTGATTAACATGATATAATTTCTTGTGTTGTACTGTGGCATTACTTACAGCCCTAGATCCAGCTGGTCCCATGTTCAAGAGAGCGGACACGTTTGATCGACTGGACCCATCAGATGCCAAGTTTGTTGATGTCATCCACACCGACTCGGACTGTGAGGCTTTTACCAATATTTACCAAATTACACAAATTGATTAAGCAAGATCTATATAATTTCAGTAGAAGTAAATCTTAGGTTGAGTAGACGTACTTGTACTAGTCTAAATTTAAGAACTTCAGTTTTGTTTACTCGGTTTGCCTTTACCAATTTGGCCTATTTTTCGAATGTAGATTTTGGCATCTCCATCCCGATCGGTCACGTTGACTTCTTTCTGAACGGAGGCAATGACCAGCCTGGATGTGCCCGCTCAAGATTTGATTCTAGTAAGTTCTAAGTTCAATAATTCACAAACAAAAAGTAGTATAAGAAATGTTTTGATGAGACTTTAATCCGCGGTATGTTTAGTGTACGGCTATGTGATTTGTGACCACATGAGGGCGCTGCACGTCTACTTGAGCGCACTGAACCACTCGTGCGCACTGACAGCTCTGCCCTGCACCAGTTATGAGGACTTCCTGATGGGCCAGTGTGTGGACTGCAATGTGTTCAAGGGAACGTGTCCATCTATCGGTGATTTACGTTTAATACATATATATATAGCCTATAAAATAGAACATGACAACAACTTTTCAAGGGCTTTAAGGGCCACTAAGGCTTTAAAAATAGGCAACTTGATGGAATAGATGGAATCTTGGTCGATGGGCTTAATATCCAAATCAATTGTAAAAACATCACAAAAGATAATGGCTTGTATATGTGGCAGTGTACGCTTGAAAGCTGTCAAAGTGCTACAGTAGGCCATTTATTTACTGTACTCAAGGGCAAGGTCAGATTTGTTTATATAGACCATTTACAACAACAAGCGCTACTCAAAGTGCTTCACATCAGAGAGGCTTAGAATAAATAAATACTATGCAAAGGATTAAAGCAAACACTAGTACAGACTATTAAGATAAAGTGTGTTTTACGATTCAGTGGAGGTAAGCATCTGTGGCTTTACAACAGAAGACAGAAAAGTGTTTTTTAATCTGCGCAAACAGCCTATACTATCTTAAAATACTGTCTTACACGGTGTAGGAGTGACAGCCACTTTATGGTTATAAGATGACCCCTGCAAGTCACGAATCAACTGAAAAATGATCATTTGTGGTCAATGAGGGCTCTGGTCAGCCTCCCCTGGCAGTTGTTGATCAGTTTAGAGTACATGAACTTGTGATCAATGTACTCCATTGATGTACACCTATAGGTTATCAAAAGACATGATGTAAAGCCCACTTAACAACTTCTATGTCACAGGTTTAAAAGAAAACAGCGGCATCACAGTATTGCCAGTTCCCAAAGAGCAGAAGGTGTTTTTAATGACAACTTCATCTGCACCGTTTTGTGGTGAGTACATTTATCAACTGGTCAGTTTTTTCTGTCACTCCTTTTTCCCATTACATTCTGTTTCCTGTCCCATGAGACAGTCCACAGAGTCCAAGTAGTAAAGGATCATAACCACTCAAGTTTAGTACCTCATTTTTCAAAAATAATATATACTCTTTCAAAAGACATCATAGTTGCATACAAAATAAGGGACTTATGCCAATAGAAGGCAATAGATATAGATAATATTTACAAATAACACTGCTGAGTATTGGTTAACATGACAAAATTAATTTGTGATTTGTCTTAGAGTCTTTATACTCAAGATAACAACAAACAAGCATTAAAATAGTCAACAATATTTTTTTTAATAGTTGATAAGTCACGGTTATTTTGAGTAATCGTTGCAACCCCAATAAAAAAGTACATTTGTTCCTTCACATTGCTTAAAATAAAAATAAAATGTATCTTTTGTGCAGCTCATCACATTCTGGTGGAACTGGAGGTTGCTTCTTTGGAGAAAAGTGCTGAGATCGAGTTAACTCTGTTAAAAGGAAACCAAAAAGTGGAGAAGAGGCTTAGACTGTAAGTATTAAACAAATTGCCCCATTATTACTATTTATTTATTTATTTATTTAATAGGGACAGTGCATATTAATGAACATCTACAACATTGCAGTGTAAATATGCCAGATTATAGCAAGACTGCTAATTTCCATCTGTAGTCCCTAGGCAGGTAACACCACAAATTTAAACAAAGCAAAAACAAGTAACAAATCTATACTAAAAGTGTCCACAAGTCTGTTTTTTCTTTAGCCACTCTTTTAAATAGGACTTGAAGGTGGCAAGAGTTGAAGTTTCTCTTATTGATGACAGAGGCAGACTGTTCCAAAATTTTGTGCCTCTGACTGAGAGCACACCTTGTCCGAATGTTGTGCGTCTGTGTGGGACGTCACAGTTCCCCCGGGCTGTGGCCCTAGTTCCCATTTCACTCACAGTCTTTACTTTAATAAAATCCTGTAATGGAGGAGGGGCAAGTCCATGCAAAATTTTATAGACAAAACATCCATATTTAATTAATTTATTTGACCTACTGAATATCCAGGTGTGGGTAGAGCAGCCAACAATCTTTAAGTAAAAGTAACATTGAGTAACAGTGTAATGTAAAATGTATTTAAAATCTCATTTAAACACAAATGTATATCTGATGGTAAGTTAAGAAGCACAAAGCATTCTTGTCAACATGAAGCTTTTGTCTCTCAAAATGGGAAGTGTAAGAATAACCTTTTAGTGTCTTTAGTCTGTAAAATGTATTGAATAGAAGCTAAAGTATGACATCAGAAAATTACTATGTACAGTTTCTTTAAGAAGTCAAAAAGTAGCTGACACTTCCCACCTCGGTTTACATCTCATGGATAGCAACTCCATGAGTAATTGTCATAAAATATGTCATTAGTCTTTTTCCAAAGTCACTTTCTGTGGCGAAACTGTCAAAGGCTGGATGCATGTCCTTATCCCACAGAGAGCACAGCAGGTTTTTCTCACAGAAAAGAGTGAATGTGCACTTTCTGTTTTGAGAGCAGAGTGGAGCTAGATCCAGGTGCAGGACAGTACAGTGTGTCAGTGTGTGTGTGTGTGTGTGTGTGTGTGTGTGTGTGTGTGTGTGTGTGTGTGGACTGGGCCATGTGAGGTGAGGAGAGATAATAATAATAATAATGATAATAATAATAATAATAATAATAATAATAGCACATTTATGGTTTGACAAACTAAACATGTCCCAGATTTGCCTTTGTCAGATCACCACATAAGGAGGATAGAACACAGGAAGTGGTCCAGTTTGCTTAGGTTGACTTTTTGTGAATAATTGTTTTATTATTATTAGTTAGTTAGTTAGTTAGTTAGTTTGTTACGCTATACATGTTATAGATACTCTATATCATACAAATAAATTACAGTTTTGTGCAGTAAATGGTGTTTTTATGGTGCATACCATACCAGCTTTGTTTATAAACTTTAAAAACTTTACAGCTGCCCTAAGTGCTGTGCACAAATATAGAATAGATAAAGACAATCATTGCGTACCTTTTCTGGCTGGGTGTCTGCCACCTGCCAGAGGTTATGACACTACGTTAAATGTTCCGTAGTATGACATTAAACATGCTATCTAGCATTTTTTTTCATAGTCATTGTAATAGCTCAGCAATGTACTACCTTAAAAAAAAAATCATTCTTACTGTGGTTGCCTCTCCACAGATCTGATCTGGCCTGATGTTATCACCTGCTTGTCTCCTTGCTTGGGGATAGATAAATTTAATTTCGTGCTGTAGAACATTCCCGGCAAAGCAATATTATATCTACAGAGATAAGGTGGTGTATCCACACCAGAAAAGTTTCACAGTGCACCTTTAAAACCTACTTGCCACAAGTAGCTTTTACATATTTTCTGTGTGTTTGTAGTCAGACGGATAAAACAGTGTACAAGACAGTGCTGGCTCATCAGGCACCTCTCTGTGAGATTGAGTCCATCATACTGAGAAACACTGGGATGCGCTTCTATCGACAAACAGATGTCCACGTTCGATCTGTGTGTCTGCTACAGCTACCCAGGTAACTTTCTTTAAAAGTAACTCTTTAAAAGTTTGAAAACAAAAGAATTCTGCATTCTGCAATGGAGGCAACTGAAGGTAACATAAACATATAATTAGAAATGTCTATGGGAGTCAAAAGTGAAGTGGAACATAATGTGATCCATACGGAGGAACTGCGATCAACCACAGAATATCACAAAATGGAAAAAAAAATAAAAGGTTAAGAAAATTAAAACCACTTTGAAACATGTGATAACTTTAGTATAAGTATACTTGTATTATATCTTATTTATTTAATAGGTGATTATGATAGACATTTAGCATTTTAATGAAGCCAAAATCTTGGACAGTACTGTACTTACTTACAGTACTTACAGAAATGTTGACTCTGCAGTAGTTTTTTATGTAATCTGCCAATATATTACACATTTTCACACACACAATAACATTTTATGAATACCAATTACATTTCTGAGGTCAATACATCATATTTTTCCCCATGGCAATAGAAAGGCAAACTTACTGACACTGCATATTTTTGTTATAAGTCACCCTCTCTATAGGACAATTTTAAAATGTATTATAGTCTGCCTCATTTTTTTCCCTCAGTTGCCTCTGAAATGTGAACATTCTGATGACATTCTGTAGCATTAAAGGGTCTATAGACCCCTGCACCCCGCCCTCCCCCCACTAGTCCTGTTTATCTTTATACGAACTGAATTTCATTTATGGTTTGATAAACTAAACATGTCCCAGACTTGCCTTTGTTGGATCACCACATAAGGAGAAGAAATATACAAGGCATGCACGGGTATTTGTCCATTACGTGCAGTAAAGCAGTTGAGGTTTAGCAGCTGCAGGTTGCATTTGTTCACAAAAGAATGGCTTTGGAAAGAACAACTGTGCATTATATTTTAGGAGACAATTAAAATAGCTCAATAGTGTACCTTGTTATAGCTCAGGTCACACAAAATGTAACATGACAAATTATGATAATGTCCAAATGTTTTTTCATATTGGGGAAATAAATAAAGAAAATATCCACTATCATTCTATTCTTATAATCATTTCCATTTCATAATATTTTCAGTGGCATTTCTGCCTCTAAATAAAAGAGTTGATTGATTTTTCCCAGATTGTACTTTGTCTAAATCCTTAGTTTCTCGGCTCAGTTTCAGTCACTCGCAAATTTTTATTCATGACAGCTGTACAGTAGTAGTAGATGAATTATTAATACTATGTAATAATGTTAAAAATGTGTTTATCCTAGACGAGAGACACCTCTTTGTGTGAACAAATTTGATGTTCGTCGTGGAGCTCCCTGGTCACATGATTTTATACAGGTCTGTAATTGAAATTTAAAAAAGAAATGTGTCCATTAACAGAACAATATTACTTGTTCTTTTAGCACTTTTTCACTAACTTTTTCTGTAAGTTATGAAAATGTGGGTGCTAGCTAATGTTCTTTAAGATAAATTATTTGTCAAATTGTGTGTAATTTCAGTCATCCAGGTAGAACCATGGCAAAGGAAAAATTCAATTTGTCAACAGAACAAAGTTTATTTTGGCTGGAAACATTTCACAGCCCATCCAAGCTGCTGCTTCAGTTTGAAGAAGAAACAAAATGACCAAAATAAACTTTGTCCCGTTGACAAATTGAATTTCTCCTTTGTTATTTGTCAGATTATTTCAGTTTGTATCACTACTGTGTCAACTTATTGCTGAACTTATTTAAGACAGTACTTACTAACAGGATTAAAACTGCCATTGTCAGTATGTCTTTTGGAAGTAGGACATTGTACCAATATTACATAGCATTATATATTGGCTCT